GCATCAAACCCTAATAGAAATTTGTTTCTAAATGCCTCAGGAACCATACTACGTCGTCAAAGTGCCGAAATATTGCACTTTGCATGTGCAGTAGAATTGACATAGGCGGCTCATGTACGTATCGCAATGCTGATACAAAATAATTAATTACTCATTACCCGAACATGATTTATGAACTTTTATGATCGAACCATGTAAATAATACATTGCTGACCATTCTTTAATCATAAAAGTTCATAAACTGTGCTCAGAAAGTGAGTTAATTAACGATTTTGCATACTCATTGTTGTGTATATTCCTCCTACGCGCCGCCCGCGCATGCCACGGAAGAATAATTACCGAAAAACCATATCCTCGTAGACTTTAATGCAAAATTGAATTTGCTCACGCTTGACTTTTCAACTTTTTTGTCCACGCTTTTCTCTTGCACCACTCAACCAATTCAACCGGATGACACGATTGACTATTTTTGTTGTAGCGTGAAATTTACTTGCTCGCTCAACATTGTTAGGCTAGGCGCGAAGCGCCTAATCAAACAAACCTAGTAATTTTTATCCAATAGGAAATTACTACTGTGATAACCATAAAATATATGTCGGTAAAAAATTCTACACAGTAACACATTCTACAAGGAAATGAGAGTACAATAACAAAGGTTTTATCTTATTTTGACAGCTATATAGGAAACACCGGAAACATGTGATTATATGAACCCTTTGCAAGAATGTTAATATTTCTGTGATATTTAACAATTATGAAATTATGAAATAATTGGTTTTCCTATATACATTTGGTCAAAAATAAATGAAAATATTTCAATAGGTGCAATGTTATTATACACTAAACAGTAGATATGTAACCTATCATAAGGGAAATTTTGAAGATAAACTTATAAATTTTATAAATTTAATCGGAAATTAGTCTGGTTACTAAAAATTTTCGTAATTATGAATTCTGAAGGTATGTTTTGTAAATTTAAATTTCAGTTATAAATTTGAAAATTATTATATGATATTATGTTATAGAAAGCCATAAAAATTCATTACCAAATGTTAGTGACCAAAATACAGCTGTATATAAATCTCAATTTATTGGACTTGATGATAAACCTTATGCTACAAAATGCCTTTTATGTAGTTTAAAGTTTGTTCTTCCTCAGAACGAAGAAGATCTTTTAATTCATTTATTTAAAGAACATAGACTTGTAATAGGAGATGTTTGGAAAATTGCAAGTTTAAAAAGGTCTGAATCCCTTGTATACAATTTTATATTTTATACCTGTTATTAAAATTCTTTATTCTGAATTGCTTTTAGTTATATACATTATTGGGGCATTAAGTTTGAAAAAGAACCTCTAACTACATATTGTACAACTGTATTAATGAAATGTACACCTGATGGTAAACCAAGTGAAAATGAAACATATTATTTACTTTCTGATTGCATCTCTGAAGATAAGGCCGTGAGAGATGAAATACATAGAGCTAGATTGGTATTGATAATTTATATTAATTTTATATACATTTTATTGGACAATATAATAACACTTCTTGTTGTTTCAAGGAATGGGTTTTAAGTGTACAAACAAATGAGAGAACTGATACAAACTTCAAACGTGGTTGTATCTTTTGTCGAATGGAATTTTCAGGCTTACGTATCACATATGTAAAGCATTTGGCACAAAAACATAATTTGTATTTGGGAAAGCCAGATAATTTGGTGTTCATAGATGAACTTTTAGATAAGATTCAAACTACTATAGAAAAGTAAGTTTTAATAAACATAACATAATTCAACATACACTACTTTAATAAATTTTTTTTTAGTTTAATATGTATATACTGTGAGAAATTGTTCAAAGACCGTACAGTGCTAAAAGAACATATGCGTAAAAAGTTGCATAAACGTATAAATCCTAATAATAAAGAATATGACAAATTTTACATAAACAACTATTTGGAACCTGGAAAATCTTGGAGGCATAAACAGGTATTTTTTTTTTTAATTGTTAATAATTATTTTAAATGTTAGTTAGGAATATTTGAATTTTAATATGTTTAGACTCATTTTAAAGAAAGGAGAGCAGAAGATCAAAGTAGTGAAAATGAAGATGAAGATACATGGTCTGATTGGGATGATGATGAAGGTGTTAATATATCATGTTTATTTTGTAATTATAATGACAAGAACTTTCATGATATTTTTACCCATATGAAAACAAATCATGATTTTGATTTTAAAGATGCAACAAAGGGACTAACATTTTATCACAAGGTAACATTGTCAAATTTTGTATTTGAAGTAATAAAATAATAGTTTATTAAAATTCTAACTTTAAAACAGGTAAAAGTGATAAATTATGTGAGAAGACAAATTTATTTACAACATTGTATTTTTTGTGAAGTGAGAATTAATAATGTCTTGGAACATATGAAAGAACACAATCACTTTAAAATACCTGCACAAAAGATATGGGATCAACCAGAGTTAGTATATTATAACATATAAAATAGTAATGTATTTTTAAGTTACTTTAAGTTAATATGTAACAATATGAAATTTTAGGTTTTATTTCCCTATGTGTGAAAATGATTCTTTTTTATATAATTTGGATACAAATGGTAGCAGTGATGAGGACAGTGATGTTGAAAATGTTACAAAGTCAGTTTGTGAAATGTCAACTTAGTAATGATTATGTAAAGATATTTTACTTTAATTATGTATGTTTAGAGTGAATTTGTAAATAATATTATTAAAAAGTTAATATAAATTTAATTTGAAATATTATAGACACTAGGTATGTAGGGCAAGTTTAATCAGAAATGTGAATATAGTTTCTATAATGCTATTTTAACATAATGAGCAAGGTTCATTCATCTTTTAAATAATATTTAAATAGAAGAAAATTAAGGATCACAATGATGCAAAATAGATACAGAAATGAATTATTAAAAGCAGATTGTAGTTCCAGTATTTCCGAGAATGACTGTATTAAAATTAAAATCACGGGTATTATAAATACTAGTGCTTTTCAGAAAGCACGAATATGCGCTGAAAAATTGCACCAGCATATGCCATATAAATTTACACAACCACGAGTTCTTGAAATGTTTCAAGTAGACTGGCATGAGTATATTGAAAAAATGAAAAGAGTAATCAATTGTTGCGTTCATACTTGTAAAAGTATATTATAATTAACATTACAATAGGCATTGATTGTAAATCATTTATAGCAAATTGGTGGAAAAATGTGGTCTTTAACTCGAACAGTAGCAGTCTTCATAAACAACGAGTTTATTGGTAGTGATGTGGATTTTTTTTACTATATAAGCCAAGATTATTTTCTTAGTTTACCTTTTACATTGGAATATTATGAAAATATTGCCATGGAACGTTGTAAGCAATTCATGGAAAAATCTAAGGTGAAATGGTTTACTATCTGTGAATTATTTTATTCACTTCTATAAGATTATAACAATGTTTATTTAAAGTTATTACATTCTAGAGAAAATATGTTTATTTTACATTTACTGTAAACGGCCATTTAATGGGCTCATTCGTATTTGTGGTAAGAGTTTGGTTTCTAATTTCATATAGAAATAAAATCACATATAGGGCCATATAGCAATACTTGGCAGTTAATGTTATAATTTTATACCAAAGTCATAAATTTTTTACAAATTTAGCTGTATTCTGATTTACTACCATTAACTTGTCAACATTTTTTAAATCTTTGTAATGGGTATGATGAAGTACAACATTGTTATAAAGATGCTTATTACATAAATACACGCGTACATCGTATCGTCAAAAATGGGTGGATTCAATGTGGAGGTAAGGTGGAGTAAATTTAATTTTTACTTCGTTCGTACATTATTTAGAGTACGTATTTTAAATTTCTATTTCATACAGATATTGAATCATCTGAAATCAATGAAGATAGAGCAGGCAATATGGTCGTAATACCCGATGAGTCTTATTGCATTCCTCATGATCGTCGAGGCGTTCTTTCAATGGCAAATGATGGAAAACATTCCAATCAATCTCAATTTTTTATATGCTTGAAACCCAATCCTTGGATGAATCATTACTATGTTGCCTTTGGGTGAGCTAAACAGAACTGTTTCTCAGATGCTTCTGTTCAATTAAAAGTAAACAGTAATTGAGGGCAATTAAATTTTGTCTGTAATTTATATTAAGACAACTCATAGATGGTGCTAGAACATTGAAATTATTAGAAAACATATCGACTTATTATGAACATCCTACTAAGCAAATATTAGTATCCCAATGCGGAGAATATTGTCTTAGAGATGAACTTAAAATGGAGACAGAGTCACAAGTTTTCCTTGTTAGTAAACTGGAAATTATGCTTCATTTTATATCATTGTAGCAACATCTATGTTAAAGATTAGATTTTAAATGTCCATCCACCTTTTAGAAACATCAATCACCAGCAAGTGTTGAAGGGGAAGCTACAGGGATTAGCTATAATGTATTTGACTTTTATTCTATTGCATCATATCTTGACAATATTGTAGATGTAATAGACGTTCGTGACACACCATCAGTTATTAGGGTTGAACGATATTTGAGTGATCTTTATTGTCTTTCACGTAAACACGAACCAGGTATTAGAAAATAGAATGTTACCCTACCCTATATATGTATAGATATGTAATATATCTTTTATAGGAATGGATCTGGGTATTTATGAACAAATTAGTTCTGGTTCTGTTGCAAAACTTGATGTAACAGCCATTAAACTTCGTCAGTTACTAATACATTTTCAACCTGATACGATGACAGAATTAGAAAAAACGAGATATATTTCAGATATTTCTGAAATCATATTAGCTCATATGTTTTATCATGAAAGTAACGAAGTAAATTTAAAATCGTCAATGTTTCAAATAACTGTTTATATAAATAATCTATTGTATATAATATATTCTATATATTATTTAGTTTTGTTTACAACACATTTCAATGCATTCTCATACAACAATCCATAAAATATTGGAAATTGCATATAAAATAGCACAGAAAGTTGTTGAAAAGGCTGAGAGAAGATCTTTGATCTCACGCGAGTACGGAAATATAAATATTCCGAGGTATATTTAATTTTTAACTAAAGAAGTGAACTTTCGGAAATGTACATTTTTATTGACAAGTCCGTATTTTGTAATTGTAGTATGTTCGGTGCATGTATTCAAGATGTAATGCCTTCCGAAAATTGTATGTTATTACTGCAAGATATATTAAACAAAGCCATATCATGTTTAATACAAATGTATGATATGCAAGAATAATACGTTATTCAGGTAAGAAGACATTTGTAATATATATCAGAAATAAATTTGTAAGGGTATGAATTTTTTTTACGAAGGCCACTGAAGTATATACATATATACAAATATTCCAATTTTTATAAAAATTTATATTTGCAAGATCCTTTTATACATATCACATACATAATTTATAAATAATTCTTATCGGTTTCAAAATTTATACAAAAAACGACGCAAATGATAAACAACTCATTTTAAAAACAACATTCCTATATCTATATCACTGCTTGATTTTAGTAAATAATTTTCTTCCTCGGCCTCGAGTAGCAGTTTTTTTACCAGCTGTATTTGACTTTTCTTCAACTGGAGAAGTTTTCTCGTGAAATGCGTTATATAACATTTGTGCTTCATTTCTATTTTCCATCATTTCCGTAAGTTCTTCCTAAAAAAAAGTAAGGTTATTGTTAGTTACGGAAGAAATTTATGGCATAAAGTAATATTAAATTATTTAAATACTACTTACTTTTTTAAGTTCATTCAGATGATCTAATGATTGTCCTTTGCTCAAAACTGTTTGCAAATTTTTTGTAGTAATTCCGGGTAGTTTGGCAACAAAATCTTGTATTCGAGGATTAAATTTTTCTACTGCTATCTGTTTATTTTCTTCCATTCCAATCTCAGCAGCTTTAGCTGCATCTGGTTGTTCTCTTCCTTGCTATAAATTTTTATGTAACAAACATAATATATTATTTGTACTTTATAAATCTATCTGTAGAATTTTCAATCATCGTAGTAAGAAAGTTACTTGCATCATTACCTTTAACTCTTCAAATAATTGGGCAGTTGCGTGAGGACCAGGTGACCATACAAGTTTTAATCGCGGAAAATGTAAAGTCAGAAGTTGAAGTTTTGAAGTAATAAACATATTTTTTATATCTTTACTAGCATAATAATACCCCTGTAATTAGAAAATTAATTACTATCAAAAGAGTCCAACCATATACTTTTTTGTATTATATGCAAAAATATATACTTGAAAACAAAATGGTTTATTTGGATCAAATTCTATGAGAAGCATTGCTTTACTATAATGTCTTGTCATAGAAATGGCTTGGTTGTATAATCTTCCACTGTTTAACGAGCCAATGAGATCAGAAATACTTTTCCTTTCAACACAAATATCTGGTGACAAAATGTAATCTCCTACCTATAGAAAAATATACTCAGATAGTTCGTATATTAATACATTTTGGATTTTTGATAAATCAAAATTTTCGACTATACTTGTAATGTTACGGGTTCAATTTTCATGCCTCTTGTATAAAGTATAGCAGGTAATTCACTTCTGAATTCTCTCATATCAACTATGATCGTATTTGGAGCCTCAGGCTGTATTGGCACTCCACCCTTACGAGTATTTGTTTCATCATCTGTATCTTTTTGAATTGCTAGACTTAAACAATCCTCAGTTTTTCCGTCTTGATCGTCAGGTATAACCATTTTCTGAAGGAAGAAATACATTGGAAAAAGTACAAATATAAAAATTAATTTGTAACATAGTGACATACAGTTTTGGCATTAATTAACAAGTGAAATGCTTCTTTTTCCCGTCGTAGCGATGTTAAATATTCCTGCTCTTCCACGGAACCTCCGTAAATTAAGAAATACACCTTTAAATCTATCGACGGATTATTATTCTGATAAACCTATAAAAAATTTGTTTCAGTATTTGTGATTACATTTTACTTACAGGTCAACGAATTCATTTTTTGTTTAATACATACTTCAATTTGCCGTACAGCAGAAATATCTGCTACATACATAATAATATTATTTGGCATATGTTCCGCTAAAGCGCGTTGCAATGCCATTGGATCACCATTTTTTTTTAAAGACTGAATTAAAATAATAGGTGTATCTAGAGTTGTATTTGTTAAATCTAATTCTGCAATCTGTGAACATTCTTCAAACTGTGTTAGATTTTTATCGTCATTCGATGCTGAATGGGATTGACTTCCTTCAGGAACTTTTTGAGATAATGTTAGCATATATGTATCTTTTTCCTCGTCTTCATTCTCTTCAGTTTTTTCGGCAGTCGCAGTCTCTCCTTCTGCATTTTTCTCATTACTGCAATACATACAGTCTAATCAGTTATATATATCAATTTTGTAAATGTACAATTTTATTTTGTATTAATAGCGTACTTTGGCTTTTGCACTTCTTTATGAGAAAGTTTTTTCATTGCTTCATAAAGTAAGTATTCGTTAGCACCCATAATTAAATAATTTTTTAACTGATAACATAGATTACGATCATGTACCAGTATCAGAATTTTCTCATTTTCCTTATTAATTTTTTTTTTATTTTGATGCTGAATTTCAAGTAATACTTCGGACAAAGCAGTCCACTTTGGAGTTATTTCAGGTTTTATTTCTGTATACAAATAATGCGTGAAAAAAATTAAAAATTAGTTTTCTAATACATATCTTTATGAACTTACCATTTTTGCCATTGTACACTCTTTCTTTGGCATTTTGAAATAAAATATCTACAGAATCTAACATTAACCATCCACTATTTTTTACAGCATAATCCATAGTACGTAAACAGTTTAACATTGAATAAAATGATACCGAATCCTCGTATGTCAAACATCTATATAATTTAATACGGTTCTTTTGATTAAAAATAGATTCGTTTTCTCGTCATTTGTCTTTTATGAATACTTACGCAAGAAGACCACGTAATGTTTTCAAATCTGAGAGCAATTGTTTTGTAGTAGCACTAAGTTGGTGCCATAAAGGATCTAATTGCAATTGTAATTGCTTGTGGTATTTTTTAGATATTGCATTTTCAACAGTTAATTCATCTAAATCCAACTGTAAAAATAAAATGCAGTATATGAAATCGAGCATTTTCTATAATGGTATATGTTAATAAGATATTGCACTTACATATTTGTTAAGTTTTTTAAGTTCTTTGATGACATAATTCATTATGTCAAGTAAAGAGGTTTGAATATTCAACATTTTTGATGTAATTTTTACATGTAACTCAATAACATCAGGCTAAATAAAAAAGTTTGTTCTTATACTTCTTAATACAATATATGTGTTGCATCATTGTATCAATGATAAACGTTACCTTATGTTTCCCTAAACTATTATTTACAAGTGCATGGAAACGTGGCCATAAATGTAATTTTTTGACAAACAAAGCTTTCATTATGCGCTCTACCTGCGAAAATCCAACGGTCAACGCCAATGCTGAGTTACTAAATGCTTTGATAAAACCGGTCTGGAATAATGTATAAAATTAGTGAATATTTTACATTGTAATTTTCTTCTTGTGATACGTACCTTGTTACTTTGTCTATATAAACGAAGTGCAAACGCTTCTTGATATGAATTTAATATATTATGCGCTCTATATACAAGAACTCCAGTAACTAATTTTAATGGAACTCTATTTTTTAATAAATCCACTACAAGAATTCGTCCTGATAGAAACAACACTCCACCTTCTAAATACATTAGCTCCCTATAATTACATAATAAACAATGAACAACATTAAAATTAAATATCTAACAACAATCTTATTATCAGGAAAAGGATATAATTTAAACCTTTCATCTGCAGTACATTCACATGTTACAACACGCGGTAAGTGTTTGATTCCAAGACCTTTTAAAATATCAATAAAATACTGTTCATCATGACCGGTAGTTCCTAAAACTATGATCAAATTTCCTGGATCCGTGTATGCCCTTAATATATTTGCAAACACTGTTTCTAACCCAAGTCCCCTAAAATAAATAATAGTAACATGAACATGCAATATCACACAAAATTAAAATTATATATCATATAAAATAATATTTACTTTGCAACAACAACTAATCCATCTTCATGGATTATTTCCAAAAACATTTGATTCTCGTATTCCAACATGATTAATTTAAAAATTATACTCTAAATTATGACACACTCAAAATAAGATCTGAAAAAGTAAATCTAGAAGGTACCATGTAATAGATGTTGAAAATGATGATTGCTTTTCCTAAAACATTAAGAAATAATTATGATATACAAGCATATTATATCAATATTTGTATCGGATTATGTACCTCATTAGTATTAACTTCTGAAGTTTTTTCATACGATACGTTTTCAGTATCTGTTGTTTCATACACTAAGAGGATATATTTACTAACTTCATGAGATGGATGTCCATAAACACCTATACTAACAGGCCTTTTAAAACTGAAAATATATCAATTAAAATACATGTTTACATATTTGGTATTGAATTTGTTTTACTATACCTATCAGGGATAAGAATGGTATCTTCTCCACATGTTGCAGACTGAAGACAATATTGATCTGGTTCATAAGTTGGTTTTGTTGTTGTTTGAGAAGCATACAAATCTGCATCACCAGTCCTACAAAATAAAATAAAATTTAATATTTAGCATCATGATGAATAACATATTTAAATCAATCATTGAAGTAACTGAATGGTTTGCTTACTCCGATATTAGTGTTATTCTGATAAATCCATCATATGTTAAACTATAATATTTATATGAACCTGCTGCAACTTCATCAATTATATAATGAGAAAACTTGTCTTTATGAGCTAATACATAAGATATCTGTTAAAATAATGTTATTTTTCTTCAGTCAAATTATTACAATTGAAGATTTGATGTCATAAGTATATATGAAAGATACAAACTTACCAAAATAAAGAAAACTAATTTATTCTTCATAGTACAGTGTATTTTAACATGACCATCACGCAATCATCCTCTCAAACTTTTTCAACAAAGAACAACGCTGTACAATTAAGTTACCTTCTATATGATTTCTAAATAAGGATAAAATGCAACAATCAATAAAATCATTCTATCATCAAATCAGTTGTATAATAAATAATAATTAAAAGTTTTCTATAACACATCTTAGTATAAACTTATTTCACATTTTTCATAGTACACACATCTGAGTATGAAGTAGGTTAGGATATTACCATGTGCTGTTAATTCGTGTAATACTCCTTTTTTGTACAGAAAAGATTGAATATATCTTTTAACAAAAACTTATAATTTTGTATCACATTTACATACTACGTTTCTCTTTAATAGAATACGTATTATGATGCAAACTTCTTTAAACAGTAACTGTACAATATTTGACAGATGTCGCGAGTGATGCATTTAAATACAAAAAACTTATATTTTTTTAAAAACCTAAAGTACGTTTAAAAAATTTCAAAATATTTGTTTTATTTAATATAAAAAACAGTCGGATGTACTTTCAGTTGATAGTATATAATCAATTAGTGTAGTATGATATACCGATAATTTGGGTCCTTATCAATTAACAATCGAAAAGATATTGAAAATTCGAAAAATATTAATGAATATTGAATGGTTCAGAGAAAGTTGTCTTATCAACAAATTCATGTATGCCCGAGTTTTCTCGTGTGCATGGAAAAGATGCTACAACATTCCACAAGCTATTACAGACTTCCGATAGAAGTAGGCTAATTTGAAATTTTAAAATATTCTACACGTACTTTTTCTGCTGTTTCATTAAATTAAGTGTAAAACATATTTGCAAAATAGCATTATTTACGTAATTTAAGACAATTAGCGCGTATCAAAGCTCTCGTTTCTAGGCCTCATGATACTCGCACCTCCTCGTAATCAAGCACGATATCCGCTGCATCACTATTAGGAAATGAGGTATAATAATTACTGCTTTGTCGTAGGAACAGGTTGCATGTATATAATAATGTACCAAGGGAATTAATAATAATCCACTCATTCTATCTGAAAATGTGTCACTAATAATTCTTTTAAATTTATTCACAATTTCAGTAATGAAATTGCAAATTCTTCGTGATCAATATCTCGACAAAAAATTCTTCGTTCTGCACGTTTTACAATGTACTATTTAATCGCTGTACGATATCTAGATTATCATGACTATTTGTATGATCGGTGAAGTCGATCGGAATGCATCGTCCGTGAAGCAATATCAGTAATCGTGTATTTCATTCTATGGCTGGTAGTAAAGTAATGCGTTATCAGAAGGCATTAGAAGATCATCTCGTACGCGTTCTTTGCTACCACTAGCTGGTCCGTCGAATTGCAGCGTGGTTAGCTCGATTCTACCAGTGCAATAGGATCGGCCGATACTTTTTCCTACATCGATATAAGCTACCAGACCGGTAACAGTCTCTCTTTCTCGTGGGGTGTAAACAGGGCCTATGACGAGTCTGCAAGCAAGAGGAAGAGGGGGTGAGCGGTAGCACAGGTAAGATCGTCGGACTCCTGAACAGCGATGTGTACGTTGCCTTATTAGCGATGGGAGCAATACCCTCATGATACCTTTCCAATTCTTCAACCATCTACTATAACAATTTTAATATATTATCATACTCAAAAATTTAGCGCCTTTTTATTAAATTTTTATGGTACGGTAAGCTATATGATGTCATGTATCATAAAATATCATTAAAAGCATATGACGTATTCGTCTCAAACCTTTTATACTAAATTACCTTCAATTATTCCGTTTGTATATACAGGTGCTATATATTTGGTTTAATGGTTAGGTTAACCTCATAACTTCACCATAGAAGATGTCTATAATTTACAAGTTCCTAGATGTCCAAAAATGAGTCCTTCAAGGTACATTCAATCCGTGCATCCTTGCGTCACTTTCCGTACAGCACAATTCGCAGCGTCTAATATCAATCGATAAATCGGACATAAGAGCAGTAAATTTCGTAATTAGCAGGGAATCGATCCCATCGCTAGGTGATATGCATGTATGCGATTAAAGGGAGGATGTAGACGGCGCATGGTGAATCGAGCCTAAGGGTAGTAGAGTGGGGTTCGGCGGGAGTGAGGGGAGAATGGTGGAGGTTCAAAAAATGTGTAGGTGCGCGCGCAACTGCTTTGTCTCTGTGTTGGCGGTGGTGGGGGGTGGCTGGACCACGAGGGGGCCACAGGGGTCCGTGAGCGGAGCATGGCGGACCAAAGGCGACGGCATCCTTTCAGTCGGCCGCTGAACCCGCGCGCCGTGCGGTTGTTCGTGTGTATAGTCTCGGCTACGAATCGTCGCGTATCGTTCCTTTTCTACTCTTCATCGCAGAAACCACGCGTGTGAGCTTTTTCTATTCGCCGGTTATCCGTCCGTATTCGCGAAGGTGACCACACCGACGGAAACGACGTAAGCTGTGTTCCAGTAAGGACCTTTTCACGCGCCAGGACCGTTCTTTTGGATTTTTTGGAGTACGTCTTCGAGATTGTTTTCGTGCGCGGGCGTAACGCCGACGTGAAGTTCTTCTGCATGGTAAGTACTCCAAATTCAACGCCTTCTCTTTAACCGCGAAGTTAATCCAGTCTTCGCGATGAAAACCCGTATGATGTCAGCCATTATTCTCCGAAGATGTTTCGGCACCGTGTAGATAAGCGCGATTCGCTTCAATGCAACTAACGAGCTAGATCGAAAGAAAGGGAACGAACGTTGGGCAAGGTTTTCACACGTGTATGTAAGCAAAACTTGGAGTGATGCAACGAAGGGGGAATAAGATAAACGCGAAGTTGGCTTGCTTTTTGAATCTCGCGACGAAAAGAAGCTGGTACCGTTTCCCGCGATAATGTCACGTGATCGTACCTACAAATCTTATTACGCGCGAACTATTTAGAAAATGGCGTACGATTTTTGTTTCGAAAAACGCATTTACATTTTGTACGTGATGAAAATTATTCTTTATTGTGTAAAATGTTTTGACAGACACAGGTTATTTTTAAGGGCAAAATTTTCAAAATTCTGCCTTGATAATGATTATAATTTAGTATTCCATGAATACAGCAAATTTTTAATAACCGTATATATTTATGTACACGTAGAATTTTTTAGTTAATGCTAATATTCTGCTTTAATTATTATAATGATTTTGTACAATGTAAATTAGTAGGTTCGTTAGGTTTCATTAGGGTTCCACTTCTTGCCAATTTTCATCACCCTTATTAACAAGTAATGACCTTCATCATCCATTAAAAAGTTATCCACATCGGAAGTTGTATGTTTTTTATGAATATTCAAAAAGTTTCTCAAGAAATATCTTAAGCGTTATTTCTTAAGAAATAACGGAAACCGCAATCATTTTTACTGAATGAAAAGTGCAAGTATAAATTTTTCCTTTGTTATTATCTTTCCATTTTAATAAATACACGAAAGGTGCAGGTCAATTTTGCATTATAAAAGGGCGCTAAATAGACTATAATTTAACGTAATTCACAAAGTAATAAAAAAAGTTTCGTGTCGTAAAACGAAGTGCAAGTTAAACGCTACTGTGAAAAGGGACCCCTTTTAAAATAATTAGTGCATATAATATCAAGGGTTCGGTTTCTATTGAATCTATACATGTTCCTAGTACACATGCCATTGAAATGAATATTTCTGTATGTATATTTAAAAGAATGACACACATACAATTGCACGGGTGTGCAGTAACACCGGTGGCGCTTTCAGTAACATAAGAGTTCGAAATTGTGCGTAATTACACCATATAATCGTAAGGTACTTCGTGTGGTATTCAAGGTGCGTTCTGAATGCAACGTATATTTGCTACTGTTTCTTCTCCCGTTTATACGCGCAATTTGTTCTGCACGAGAAGAATTAAGAACCGGGGAACTTTTTATGGTAAATAGCATGAAAGGAAAATGCCATAGAACATTTTAACAGTATTGTTCAGATAGGATAAAAAATAATCATTCGAGTGAAAGTTTTATTTGGCTGGATGTTAGGTATTAGATATTAAATGTTTATGATTTTTAGATGTTAAAGATTCTCTGGATTATTTTTCTATTTGACCAAAATAATTTATTTTGTGTTTGAACAAATTTTTATTCGCATCTTTTCGAATTCCAATAAATTAAGAATAAAAAGTCGAATATTTTAATAAACCACTCAAAATCTAATCGATGGACAAATTGTGGATAAATTCTAATTTAATGTGAAGCACTGAGTAAAATTTAATCATGTTATCATGTCTAAAAGAGTAAAATCATTCGTTGATACGAGTTTCGTTTGTCTCATATGTCCATGACGTTTCACAAATTTCGCAGAGAAATGTGGTCGAGGAGTGTTATTGATAAATCAGTCTCGAAACTCATTGTATACATTGGACGCGCGAAACAAGTTTGATCGTTTTGCTTGTTTCCATTTTTTTATTTTCTCAACGGATCAGAGATTCGAAAGTCGAGGCGTAGAATTGCAAACGGAAGAATCTATAAACAGACAAAGTCGAGGACTTCATTCGGTTTGAAATAACTGACCATTGTAGGGATCAAAGATTTCGTTGTTGGTGCCATCTGGTAGTCGACATTAAATGACTCATATTTTAAAATCGCTTTATGGTTTGCCAGCCATCTTTGTGATCCTTTATGTTTAAAATTAATTTATAGAAATATCGATGATCGATATTGGGAACATCTATTTAGAATCTTAAAAATAAATTTGAAAAATTTTATATTTACGTATAATGTATCGATGATCGATATAAAAATCTAGGAAAGTGATTGACAAGTTTAGAATGTGGTAATTTAAAATTTCTCGATTTAATAATCTCAAATTTCTCAATTTACTAATTTAGAATTGCAGAAGTTTTTCATTTTATAAATCAGAAATTGCAGCAATGGTTTAAAGGGACTTTGTTTACGGTCACTGAAGAATTACAGGTTTTTTGAGCTGTTTTGCTCGCAGTTAATGTATTCGTTGAAATATTAACTCCGTCCGTCCCAGCTTTTTTGTTATCAAGATTCCAGGTTTTATCGATGTCCTCATAATACGTGGACATTATTTATTGTGACACAGTTCCGTTTCGTAAAACGGAAGCACCCTCGTTAATCTTCGAATTTTTTCGATATCGTCTTCGGTATTCAATATTTATTCGATTGTTTTATGCAGACTCTGTCTCGTAAATGAAACGATCATTTGTTTACAAAAATGAAAGACAGAAAATTTCTCATGAACATAATAAATATCGTCAATAATTTTTGTGAAATACAAAATTGTATTAAGCTTCGAGTTTCATTATTATTCTATAGAGGAGATTTGCATAGAAATAGGATTATTGACAAATCAATACACTGCACAAAAAAAGAAAAGTAGTTCAGCCCCTCAAATTATAATAGAACTTAAAAACGTGATAATATTCGTGACTGCGGGCAGATTTAATCGAATATTAGTCTTGAAAGTTGAGAGGGTCTCAGGAAGGTTTCTATGGTCCTAGGTTTGATCTCAGGGACGCCAACCCTCGAGTTGTGCCAACTCCAACACTAGTGTCGCAGTACGACAATCGATCTCTGCTGAAACACGTATACCGAACGCATTTTCAGGTCTCGTTAATCTTTGCTGTCGCATCGAGAGAATCGCTAAATTTGTCTGTATTGAAGGAAGAATAATTAGCACAGTTAGCTGCGATTCGCAAAAAAACAACAAACGAATCAGGGCTGTATGTGAAAGTATTGGCACAGGGGTGAAATACGTAAAACAATACAATCCTTCTCTAACGTCCTTTGTATTATACTTATTTATAATTTTTTCACTAATTTTTCGAACAATAACTCAAATAATCAAGTTCAGGAAAAAATAATTTATTTCGTCAAAAAAAATAAAAAAAAATTAGTCTTATAAAATTAAGGTGCAAACAAAAATAAATTTATTTATTTTTATACGTGTTTCATATTTTTAATCAGAGAAATTTTCATGAGAGAACTGATATTGTTTGCATAGAGGCTTTTTATGTGAATAAAAAATATCGAACGTTGACTCTGTTTTTAATTCCGAGAGTATACAGTAAATATTTGAAGTGGTAATATAATAAAAGGAATAACAATTTTGTACGGGGTTCCACAAGAGGGTGACTGTTCGCGTTGATGATCTCATTTTTCCTGATCTGGGTTTTTACGACCTTCCTTTTTCTTCGTGTATACACAAGATACATAAAGAATTACGATCACCATGATGCATGCTGATAAAAGACGAAGTCAATATTTAGGGTTGTTATCGATTGACCCTTAAACTACAGATATTCAGAAATTATGAGTTTCATTTCGATAAGTGAGGTTCTTTTATATAGTAGGGAACCTTTTCAACAGCAGGTATATTTCTGAAATTTATGAATAATAGTAACTAATCAACATAATTTTATTACCTATCCACCCTTGAATATACACCCTAAGTACCCTTCAATATATCTTCATTTAAATAAAGAAAACACAATAATTTATTTACCATGTTTCATTTTTCCAATTTATTTTCGATTTGACAGTAAATACAAGATCGATGTGGGTTGTCCATAATGAGTGAAACAACAAACAGAAACTTTACGTATACATATAAGTGGCATAGAATATCCTCGAACGTAAAACAATGGAGATATTATCGAATCCGGGGTTCGTTTCCCTGAAACTTTCAAATTTTTCTTCTCTCTCCACTCGAGAAAACTTGCTACGATTGATTTATGGTAGCCGCGAACAATACGGTGACCCCAAACTCAGCTTACCGTAAATCACTCCGTCGCGATTGAAAAACTTTGCAAATCAGTTGTTTAACGTTCAGAAGTTGTGCATCGGAAGCAAAGATTAATACAATGGAACTACATTTATCTAAACACGCGGCGAAACAAAACAGTTCGATTAACTTAGTTGTACCGATAAGAGGCGCCAATCTTCTTCTTCGACAATGATTTCTTGTTTCCGTGTGTTGAGTAGAAAGCGCGTGGTTCAAGTCACTGAACTGTTTTGTCGAGTTGTAATTTTAGGAGAGACAGTGTGAAGGAGAGGGAAAATTTGGGAAGTTGGAGAGTTGGGGAGTTGGGGATGTGGGATTTTGGGGAGTTGGAAATTTGGAGTTTTGGGGGTTTGGGGTATAGGAATTTGGGGATGTGAGAATTTGGGGACGTGGGAATTTGGGAATTGAGGGATTTGGGAATGTGGGAATTTGGGGACGTGGGAATTTGGGAACTGAGAGGTTTGGGGATGTGGGAATTGGGGGATCTAAGGATTTAGGGGTATGGGAATTTGGAGGTGTGGGGATTTGGGGTGGGGATTTGGGGATGTGGGGATTTGGGGATGTAGGGATTTGGGGATTTAGGGATTTGGAGATGTGAAAATTTAGAGATGTAGGAATTTGGGGACATAGGAATTTGATTATGTAGGAATTTGGAAATATAGGCATTTAGAAAAGTATAGATTTGAAGATAAGCTGACTCATAAATTTGACTATCACATAATTCCAAAATTCTATCCAATAACCATACAATTCCATTAAAAGAAAAAAAA